GCTAATAATTATGATCTTTGTGTGCTGATTTTTCTGATTATTGTGTACTAATTTGCTCTTTGTGTATTAATTAACCTGCTTTTTGTGTATTAATGAATCTGCTCTTTGTTTATTAATTATCTCTCTATTTGTGTATTGATTAATCTGCTCTTTGTGTGCTAATTAATGTGTTGTTTGTGTGCTAATTAATGTGTTGTTTGTGTGCTAATTAATCTGATATTTGTGTTCTAAATCGCTCATTGTGTATTAAATAATTTGCCCTTTGTGTACTAATTATTCTGCTTTTTGTGTATTAATTAATTTTCTGTTTGTATACTAACTAATCTGCTCTATGTGTATGAACTAATTTGCTCTTTGTGTGCTAATTAATCTGCTCCATGTTTGCTAATTAGTCTGCTCTTTGTATATTAATTAATCAGCTGTTGGTGTAATAATTTAATAAGCCCTTTTTGTATTCTGCTTTGTTACTAATTAATATGCTCATTGTGTACTAATTAATGTGTTGTTTGTTTACTAATGAATTTGCTCTTTTTGTACTAAATAATCGGCTTTTTGTGTATTAATTTCTGCTTTTTGTATACTAATTGATCTGCTATTGCTGTATTAATTAATATGCTTTTTTCTGTATTAATTAACTGGCTCTATGTGCTAATTCATTTGATGTTTGTAATGCTGACCATCAGTTTTGTAGCAAGCATACTGATAATCATTATGATGACTTCCTGTTACACTGATGCTGGTATGGTTGGAGAAAAATGAGAAAACTGGAAATCTCCCAGAAGCAAATCAAGGATTTCTTTATTTATTGCACATTATATATTTTGGAAAATGTTCAGGAAAAGAAGTAATTACCTAGCAAAAGGTTGTTATAGAAGTGTCACATGTTTCAAAACTAATGTTATCATGTAAGTTCCATTGGGCACTTTAATGTCAATCATACAATAATGTAGTCATTTATTGCTGTAATTTGTTCCTAGGAGTCTTCAGATGTGTGAATTAGAGATAGTTTTCTGTCATATCCATCCTCTTTTCTAAAGAATTCCTTTACTGGTTCTTGCTGCAAAAAATCACTTATAAATTATAGTTCCAGTACAGAAATATCGATTTCCATAAAATACTGATGCCAGCAGATGTTGAAATTATGATTGACTCCATTAGGAAGAATCGTCTGAGGGTATTGAATTAACTGGCATTTAAGTAAGGCAATTTGGTAGACACTACACAGTAAAGTCCTGCATTTTACTGGAAGTGAAATGTAATGAAAATGTCATTTAGGAATTAAATAATTTAAAGTTCATGATAATCATTAGGAAAATGTAAGGAAGATAGATTCTTGAATATTGATATTATTGCATTATGGTAGCTCTGGAACTGAAGTTTAGGTTGCCAAGGGTATAAAGTACAATGAATTACTGTATTTACAAACCCTAACAGGAACCTTGGAAACATTTTAAATATGATTGCTCTTGTAAGATAGAGCGTGCTTCAGAAAAGAATAAGACAAATGGTTACCTCCATGATTGTAAAGTTGCCTCAATTTTAGGCACACTTTATCAGAAGAATAAAAGTTATTCCATCATTGTTCAGTGTAGTTCATGTTATTTTGTGGCATTCTGTGAAAGACACAATTACATGTGTAATTTTTAAAATTATTGATAACACCAAACAATTTAATGATAGCAGTATGCAGTTATTTTTGTGAGGCAAAGAAATTTGAAATTTTTAGCTGAAAGCTTTTAGCAGGTGAGTGTTAACACTTATGTCCTAATTTAATTGGAAATATGTGCCATTTTCTTTTTTTTTTGTTTTGGGGAATTTTTATACCATATCATCTGAGTGGCTTACTTTCAAAATAAAATAAAATGTTGAATACAATCAAAACCTGCATTAAATTCTGAACTTGTGACCCAGCATTTAAACAGAAAGATTAAAAACCAGTCTGTAAGACTGATCAATTATAATACCAAGAACCAGTCTATAAGACTGATCATCTATAATACCAAGAACCAGTATCTAAGACTGATCATCTATAATACCAATCTTCAGTTTAAGTTTTTCATGCTGCAAGGTCAAATATAAAATGGTCAGATAAATCACTTTTCTATATCACTAATACTAAATCTGTTGCAACTGTATAGCTGGTACTTTTCAGTGGAAAATATATTGACCATATGACAAGAATCTGACCTTCCATTAGGATGAACCAGAAGATTCCAGAACATTGAATCACCCCTGAGACATCCCACACTTGCTGTCAATGCATAGACCATTTCATGAAGACTTCGGCAAACTTCATAATTTGCTCAGAATTTTGATCATGTGGCGGGTGGTCAGCTGATCACAATATCCAATCGATAGCTGGTGGTCAAAACAAAGCAGACACATCAGCATTAGCATCAACTGTTCCAACTACTTCAACTTTGTTTATCGAGTTGAAAAATGCCTATTCAACAGCAATGATGTCACAAATATTGAAGAAATTTAATATTGGAACCATCCTGTCTTATTTTCTGGAAACCAGAGCAGATTTTAAAGCCATACAAGAAAGTAGCTATGAGCTGTTTACATCTGGACATGTACATGCGAGTATGAAAACGGTGTCGATGTAAAAAATTTAATCCCTTTTTTTTACCATAACATCGTATTGCATAAACTGAGTTTCATTGACCAATATAAGGAATTTTTCATATTAATATGCAGTATAACAAACCTAGAATAATTTTCGACGGTAAAGCTGCAGAAGTCCCTTTACCATCAGCACTAAAATGCAGCGAACACATTCTCACATTCTTGAATTGAGACATTCATTTTCCAGTCAATTCAAGTTTTGATTTTCCTGCTCGTATGAGCCACTGTTTGCACACCAAATAATCTCTCCATGGCAGACAATGGAATATAATTCCATACCCTTGATTGGAACGAGTTTTGCAACCTCTGACATTGCAAATAGCGGGCATTTCGTAATTTGTTTTAATCTGATACTTCTAAACAACAATGTACACCATTTTGTTATGTACATATGCCTACCAGCATTTGATTGGCTGGAGTATAAAGTGACTCAGGAGGTTTTTCAGATAATCACGGAGCAACTTGGTTAAATCCAGTATGAAATGGGCTATTCTGCCCTTCATTTTTCAGCTGGAGGTATGGGTGTAATGTTTGCAATGTTTTTGTTGATGAGGATTTCTCATCTCTTCATTGGTTAGAAAGTGAACTTGAGTTATCTTTTGGGTGCATATTCTTTGCAAATTTTTGGATTAAAATTCTGATGGAGTTTTTTCTCCATTATTTTAAGCTTTCTTGAGAGTTTTTTTAATGTTTGTTCTGTACATGTTGTGTGTTGCTTTGTATAGTAATTTTGCTTGTGCATTTTCTACCTTGGGAATTTGTTCTATTCTTGCATCAAATGTGATATATGGACTTGCCTCGAACCATTATTATTTGTTCATTTTGAATCATTGTAATTCACATTGATTTCTAATCATGGTGATCAAGCGCCTTCTGTGTTAATTAAAGTCATCCGGTTTTACTACAGATCTTGTCATTGGGGGCCAGGTACTCCGGAGCACCAGTCATTAGAACCTGGTGATTCAGTGCTGGTCATTGGAGCCTGCACCTTACAGGAATAGGGATTGAGTTGTGTACCACCCCTCATCTCCAGACTGCCATTTCATCTTGCAGGGGACTTTGAATCAGCTTACAGCAACCAGATTAGTGAAGTGGATCGGATTAGCCTTGCTTCCCAAACATCCCTCTAAATCTCTATGGAATCTGCCACATGAATACAATTGGCCCTTTCCCTACATGCAGAGACTTTTCTGAACCTTTGACACAGGTTAGTAAGGTAGTGGCTGCATGCAGGCCATACACCTACAGTGTCTTATGTAGATGGGTCAGGAGAGAGGTAGGAGGTTGGACCTTCTTCATCTAAAAACTGAGTCACCCTCCCACCTACCGAGTCCACTGCTAAGAATTGCATGTTAACTCTGACCTAGAGGAGTTACTGGTTCAGGTTATCTCCTTGGGGCCCAATCATCAGTACTCAGAAAGTGTCCCATGTTGACTTTATCCTGCAGTAATCTCTGACTTTGCAATTAGTTTCAAATTAGTTTTATCCCTCTCAAAAAAAAAAAAACTAGAAAAAACAGGCTGCAAAAAACCCCAACATTTCTGCTAAATGGTTGCCCACATTTTCAACTCAGTGTGCTCTGTATGTTTTTTTTTTTAAATTTGAGTAATGCAGTATGTGGTTAAAGATTGCAGGTCTTTTGTTACAAGTTTATACACCTACTGGAATTCTAGTATGTAGTTTTTGTACAGTTCCTGACTGAGTCCCTATTACATTACAGTATCTGATGTAACTAGTAAAACTGTTTTTGTGACTAGTATTTGTGAATGTAGCCAGCTTTCTGTTTTTCAATACAAGAAACGTTTAGAAAATACGTTCAGATACAGTATGATTTAAACGTGAAGAAATTAAAAAAGTTGCAGTTTACTGCATTGCTTGTAGTATGCTAAATAAATGATTATTTGGAAATATACAAGGCCTGGGTTCATCATAATAACCACTGGAAGAATTAGCTCCCATTGGCTATATTTTGAACTTCACTCGGAAGATGCATTCTCACACCAAACATTGTTGTGCTGAATAAAATACATTTTTCTCCATGTATATGACAAGGAGTCAGTCTAATAAATAATTATAAAATAATTGTGTGTAGTTAGTAAGAATTTTGTATTTGCAATAAGTCAGGTCTAGTTGAAAAGAACATGAATCCCCATCTGCCATTACATAATAGGCTTGTCTATTAGGGTCTGTGTTGTTTGTTCCACTGATTGCTCCAATATATACTGTAGGTTTAAGATCAAAGATATCCTTAGTAAATATTTGACTGAAATTTGTACAAATGAGTTGTGTCCTATTATTAGATAGGATCTAATCATTGATAAATATGACACATTTGAGGGCAGATTTACCTTCACAATCAATGTGTAAAGGAGGGGTAGCTCAGATGGTAGAGCACTGGATTTAGAATCCAAGTTTCAGAGCTTTGATCCCTGCCAAGACCAGCTCAGATCAGCTACCTTGGTGTGACCCTGGCACCAAACTTCCATTTTTTTGGAATGAAATAGCCTTTAATATGTTAAAAGTTTTGATTGAACCAACAAACTGTATTAGGAGTCACATGCTTCCCATTATCAGTGTGGTGTAAGGCAGATAACTCTGTTTTAATTGTAGAGTCAGTTCTGAATGAATGGTGCTTGATCATTGATTTACATGGCTTGTGTTTTGGTGCATGGGAGTGTGCGATAATTTTTAGCATAATTTGAAAATACTTATTTGGTTTGGTTGCATTGGTCAGCCATAATTCTCCCTGCCTTCTTGAAGAAAAGAGAGGGGCATAATATTGACATTTCTGTCCATTAATCTGTCTGTTCATCCATTACACTGTCTTTGCACTCTGTGACCTTTAAGCCATTTAAGAAACTTGGTGTACTTATCCATCATTACTAGAAAGCATGAAAAAAATGCATTGTGAGAGCTAACTTGAAGGTCAAGGTCATAGTTCAGTATTTCATATTTTTGTTCACAGTAATTCTTTTACTGTTCAACTTTGAAACTATCAAGGGATGAAACTGTGTGTGTATATATATATATATATATATATATATATATATATATCATCATCATCACTAGACAGTGTTACATACAACATTTTCTTCAGAGTCAAGGTTCCGACTGAGTTGTTTATATTTTCATCACACTTCACATTTGCTTTATTGTCGTACAGCCATTTTAGATTCAGGTATGAAGGGATACTCTCACAACTTAGGTGACTGGTGTAGTTTTTGTATACTTATACATCATTACTAGAAAGTGTGCTGCATTACTTCTTTGCCTTTGCTTTACATCATAAAGTATATTTGAATTAATCATAGTACTCATGTGCTTCGCAGTTTGATGTTATCACAGTCAAGGTTAAGTCTTCAAGTTCAAGGTCAGTGATCAAATATCATACCCCTTTGCTGCACCTTTTGTTCGATTCCCTTTAAGATAGGGCAGTGGAACTTGATTATTTTCCATGGCTGCTTAGTAAAATTTGAAGCAGTATCAAAGGTCATAAATTTTTTTATTGTTAACTTTTGTGACCTCTTCATGTCAAGCAGGGGACATTACTTATGAATTTCACTTTATTTGACTATGACATCATCTCTGGCATTCAGGCAATCAAAAACTGCTATCATGACTCATTGGACAAGGTGATTGACTTGATTTGCATCAATTTCAAATTCTGACTTAATAGTGAAGAAAATCCTTCCATTTGAGCATTTTTATTTTAGTACTAAACATTTATTACTAAAAAGTTGCTGACATTTCTTTGAAGTTTAATTTTGAGAGATTCTGTGAAAATGGTATATTAGGATTTTAAGTTAAGATGAAGGGTAGGATCCAAGTTAACCAAATCATTTTACTGACTGCAAATGGGAATCTAGCCAAGTAGAACTCATAAAGTTCAGATCATTGCGGGTCTGGCTCAATGCTGTCATGTGGTTTTGATCAGTGGGGGTCTAGCCTAGAACAACCAGCATGTGGATCAGTGTGGATCTAGTCCAGTGCAGCCTGTATGGTTTGTATCAGTGTGGATCTAGCCCAGTGCAGCCTGTATGGTTTGGATCAGTGTGGATCTAGCCCAGTGAAGCCTGTATTGTTTGGATCAGGGTGGATCTAGCCCAGTGCAGCCTGCATGGTTTGGATCAGTGTGGATCTAGCCCAGTGAAGCCTGTATTATTTGGATCAGTGTGGATCTAGCCCAGTGAAGCCTGTATTGTTTGGATCAGTGTGGATCTAGCCCAGTGAAGCCTGTATGGTTTGGATCAGTGTGGATCTAGTCCAGTGCAGCCTATATGGTTCTGATCAATCATGGGTCAGTTTATGGAGAGTCTAGCCCTGTGCAGCCTGTATGGTTTGGATCAGTGTGGATCTAGTCCAGTGCAGCCTGTATGGTTTGGATCAGTGTGGATCTAGTCCAGTGCAGCCTGTATGGTTTGGATCAGGGTGGATCTAGCCCAGTGCAGCCTGTATGGTTTGGATCAGTGTGGATCTAGCCCAGTGCAGCCTGTATGGTTTGGATCAGTGTGGATCTAGTTCAATGCAGCCTGTATGGTTCTGATCAATCAGGGTCTAGTTGGGTCCAGTCGGAATGGGTCAGTTTATGGAGAGTCTAGTCCTGTGCAGCCTATGTGTGTTAGATCATTGTAGGAGTATTATATTTGCATATTCAGTTTAAGAGGTAATTATATTTTCCTGGTTACTTAAGTTCATTTTTATAATGGTTAAAACGCTTCTATATGCCAGTTTCTTTAGAAATAAATATCTTTTACAGATAGTGTTTTAACAGTTATTCCCTCATTATTGGAGATTAACTTTGAGAAAATATGTGATTATAACCTTTGAGCATTTTTAAGGTGGATCAGTGATAAAACCCAAGTAAATCAAATGTTTTCATTTACACAGGAAGCTCGTTTCAAAGTATGTATGTAACCATGGAAATGTTAAATTCACAACTAGAAGGCACCTTGTTTAAGAAGTATAGCAGAATGACTGAAGGATGAGTTCTTGTTTAATGTTAGAGTAGTTTAAAAAGTTTTGAAAAATTTGGAAAAATGGATACTTTTACATAGTTACCAGTTTAAGTAATCAAAAACCATGAAAAATGTGTACATTTATATGTACTTTCTAGTGCTTCACATAGCTAGATATCTGTCACCTTGTAAGGGTTGTTACATAGAAAAATAAAGGATATGGTGATCTTTATTTAACTCCCTATAAAATATTAGATGAGTGAGTAATCTTATATCAGATTTGCACAGATTAAAGGGTTTAGAGACCTCTTATTAGATACACTGATAAAAGTGAATATTAGCATGTGAATTTTTCACAGTTTATTCAGCTCAATGTTTCTCTGAATTCCAACATGAAAAATCCAGCATGACAGTTCATAAGTTGCTATTTCCAATGTGTCTTACATGTTTTGCTGAACATATAATTTTTGTGTGCAGTTTTGTAAAAGCTTATATTTAATAAGAAACAAAAGTCACAATTACCATATGTACTCCCTTATTAGATGAGTTCAACTGCAAACTTCAGAGACCCAGATCTGCTTGTACATTATGTGTCAGCAGATCTGAGTCTGTGCAGTTTGTTAGGAGTAATCAACAGAACAAACAATATGGACTCTGATCTGCAGGCACATTATGCTACAGAAAATCAGGATCTTTGTTTTTTGTAATTTAACTTAACATTTAAGCGAGCATATATGGTAATACAATGTTGCAGTACATCTCTTCTAGATTTCATATTACTACAAAATACTTCCATAACAAATCACTTCATATCAGTGATATCAAATAATACATATAATATCAAGATCATTTTATTTCTTGCTGTACACTGATTTTTTTAAGACTGAACACAAAAGATTGTAACCATACACATTGAAAAACCAGTAACGGTGATTTCATTTGGTTTTGTGGGTTTAATGCCATTTTGTACCACATGATAAGCTTTAACATGGTAGCCAGTATATTTGGTGGAGGAAGCACCCACAAAGACCCATAGAAGGACCACTGACCTACTGAAAGCTGCTGGCAAACTTTCTCACATGTTGGTCAAGCAGAGACTCCAACCCATGCAGAAATAGGTGAAATTTAACCAATCTGTTACCTTAGACAACTCTGCCACTCAAAATTTTATTTTTGGTTGCAGCAAGGCTCCATGCTGTGTGGTGCCTAGGCACATGCCTTGCAATCCTGTGCCTTAAAACAGTACTGCTGTAGACCACCTGCCACCTAGGGCCACATGTTAGAATGGGTGCTGGGAAAAGTTAAAAAGGCCTCCCATTTAAAAAGAGATGATACCTACCATTTATAAAGTACCTAATAGGTAATCCAATAAAATTATCTTTCTTATTAATATTGCTACTTGAGAGCTTTGTATCAAGTCAGACATTTTTTATTATCTGACAAAGAATACAGTTTCTATTGTGTTCTGATAAGTTTAAGTGTATGGACACTGAGTTAGTAGCAAACGATTGGCTTGTTAGTATTTGGAAACCAGAATGTCCTATTTTCTCTTTTTGTTTATGTTCACATATCTTTTAATCACTGTTGTTGTGGAGGATTAACATCAATTCCCTCTGATAAGTTACAATAGTAAGGAAACCAGTTAGTGACTGCAGGTGACTAGATCACCCAACAGATGGGAGGGTACATCATTCTTTTTAGTAATCATTTTCAGGCACTGGAAAAAGTGATTGATGCAGAACCATAATAACTTAGCAATTGCTTTGTTAGATTTTCTTTAAAAATATTTAAATTCCAAGAATTTATATTGCTTTCAGAGTAGACAGATTATCTTTCTGAATGGAATTTACAGGTAGTTCAGATATTTTGTTTGATGATATTTCATTTTGCTGGGTAACATGTGGAACATTGCATGTCATGATCATTTTAGCAGCATAGGTAATTTCCTAGGGATGAAATAATTTTAATAGTGTCAGTTTTCTTACTTTTATGCATTATGCAATTCACTAAACTTTGTCAGACTATTAAGCCAGACAAGCCAAAAATTGAAGCAAATTAGACTTGAACTTTATGATTAATGCAGAAAACCAGACTGGTTAACATTCTCCTTTTGAAGTCCAATTTTGAAACTTACACAAAGGAGCTGCTAGACCATTAATTATATAACTATAGTGAATATGCTCTTCTTGAAAATTCAATATTAACCCTGGGAAGGCATACCAATCCCTTGCTTCAGTTGAAAAAATATAAGAACTTGGCAACAATTGAGATTAAATTTGTGCTGAATTCAATCTTTTCTGTCCGTTTGAAATATTTTCAATACCAGCATGTCATTTTGTGTATATTGGTATCATTACAAGGAAAGATTTCACGTGTCACATAACAATGGTTGAATGTTATGGTTACATGTCACTGCTCCAGTGGCCTTAGTGGTTAGAGCATTTGCATTGGATGCAGGAATTTATGGGTTTGAATCCTGGCCAAGT